TTGATAGATGGCGTATTAGCAGAAATTTAATTTCGGTTGATAGGACATCCAGATTATAAAAATCGCCATGCGTTATCGTTTCGATGTTTTGAAGGCAGTTTAAATGGAGAACATTGGAGAAAATGCATTGATCATGTTAAAAAAGTGGAAAATTAATTTTGGAGAGTGGATATAGAAATGGAAAACTTAAGAGACCCTATACAATAATACATCTCAGAAAAGACAATGATGCCAGTAGTTATAGCGAAGATAGTGACTTATAGTTCTTGAACGTTTTATTTTTTTTTTGATATTAGGTACTAAAGTGTTACTTTTAATGCCAAGAAATTAAAAATAAAAAAGAATAATCTCATTAACAACATATAATCTTGTTATTTTTTGATTAAATTTAATTCGTTCTTTATATTATAGAAACTTATTTTGAAAAGTACAACTATGAAATGTGTCGTTATATCTCCACTTTTACTGCACTCCTCTTTTATTCAGACATTATATACTACTCGTATATTTTTAAAAGTGTATAAATAAATGTGGTTTTTCGATATTTCTTCTATTAATTGTTGAATGATTATTACTAAATGAAAAAATAATTAGGCAAGTTATAAAATTCTTAAACCAAAACTTTCTAAAAATGATTTGTAATGTTAATATGTAGGTATTTGAGTAAAACAATTAGGAGAGTGTGAACTTAATTATCCAATTGAATATTATAAATAATATAATCAATTATTGTGATCAATTTAATAATGTGAGCCAAAGAGCTCAAAACAAATAGGAACATTTTATTATTGTTTTCTCTGACTATATCACTCATTGAAATATGAACCAATGAAAACATTCGATATGTTGTTATCATGTATTACATCGCTTATTTATGTATTATGACGTAAATCGAATATATGAATCCTTGTATAATTGAATATACAAGAGTTTGTATATTCACTTATGTCAAAACTGCGACTAGATCTCCACTTCAAAATTTGTCAGTTGTCAATTTTATTATAATTTTCCATCACGAGAATATTTCTGTCGAAATAATCGATTATTTTTTATTTCATTATATAGTCTTTGTATACAACTCGATAATTGAAAATTCTAGAAATACAATGTATTGCCTATAAAAACAGGCAGACAGGCAATAGATCTCGTATAATCAAGAATTTTCAGTTGTCTAGTTGTATAATACATGCCTACATGAAAATTTTATTCAAGTTAAAAGTATCTGTAAATAAGAAAAAAAACCTAAATTTTAGCATAGTTTTTAAAGAAAGTTGCTACCCACAACATATTTTTTAATTTGATTTAAAGTAAATATATTTTTTATTTTGTTTAAAATCAATTCGATTTATCGGTTATTAGATTATTTCAATTAATTGATTAATCAAAATCGAATATAATAATTTATAATGAAAATTTACATAGTTTGTTTCAGATTTTTCTAATTTACTTTTGAACGTATGGGACTTATTTAAAGTAAAATGCTAATTTAAATTTGTCAGAAATAATGGATTGCTTTCTATACCCTGACGTCACAAGTAACCTAAACGATGGCAAATAAAAATATTGCCTTTAGTATAGGAAATGCCAAACAAAATAAAAAGTAAAAGAAATTAATTGGTGGCATAGCATACAGGGCATTTCATTTGAAAAAATTGAGTATAGTATTTTTAATACAAATCCCGATGCACGTCAGCAATGACGTCGGTCATTCGTCATAGTACTACCAACTAATTAAAATATCCCTAACTAAGCTAATAATCCAAAAAAGTCACGTATAGTCACGAGCATTCATGAACGTAGTCATATTACTAAAAAGTCGAAAACTTTTATGGTGATTATTTTGATAATTTTAAGAATTATTTAAATTATTTTGTTTATACATGTCTAATTCTTGATAATATAAAATTTATAAAAACATTATTAAATGTTTAGTACTCAAAAAATAATACTTTACATTAAATAATTTTGACATTCTGTACGCCCATGAAGCTCGTATTTATAGAGAAGAAATGTCATTACAGCAATTGGTACACCTTGTTGCGGTGTTGCAACCCCTTTTTAAAAAATTTCACTAATTTAGTTAGGTTATGTTTATGTTGAGTTAATTATTGATTGTGCATTTTATTTCTGTAATTTAAAATCCTTTTGTCTGTATTTTTAAGCTTTGCCAGTTATAATTATAAAAAACTGTTTTTCAAAACAACCATAGAGTGTATAAGCTGATTATTTGTCGTTTAATTTTTATATACAAAATGCCTAAAAAACTAAATAGTCCTTGTAAGGAGTTGATAGCTTCTTTAATCCATTATTTTGAATGAGAGCGTGATAATGATGGACCACGTTTACCTTTAACTGCTGTAAGAGAGGTAAGTTACAAGTTATAAAATTTAATAGAAATATGAAATTATTTTCTTGTCTTTTTTAGTGTGTTGCAATCTCTAAATAAAAATATTTCTACTGTCAGTAGTATTTGGCAAGCAGTCAAGAATAATGAATGATTAAAATCGCTAATTAAAAAGCATTCATAAACAAAGGATTACCTACTAATACAATAACACTGGATACAAGTGGAATCCGAAGTGGTATTTATAATATGTATGAAACAAGTAAGTATAAAGACAAATCTATTTATTCAATCATAACTTATTTATATTACCTATAAAAGTTTTAATTTGTATACAGTAATATAAATACATACTTATTTGCAGGTCAACATATAACTTTGGAACCTTTAAGAGAAAAGTTGATTGAGAGACAAATGTTTAATGGCTATATTGCATCATTGTCAACTGTATTAAAAGAATGAAGGAAAAAAGATAACCAAGACGTGAACTGTAAATAGGTCAGTTTTTAAGAAATTATAGAATTACAACAGAAGCAGTTCGTTGTCATTGATGAAACATGTATCGTTCAAAATGAAACATTAAACAGCTCCTGGGAAAATAATGACAAAGGGTGTTAGACCTACAAAAATCGATGGCAAGAGATAAAACCAAATTTGAAGCAAATTAAGGTATCAGTAATTGTGTAAATCAAGTAAAAAAAATATTAATATTGAAATGACACATCATATTGAAGATTTAATGGTAGATACGCTATTCTAGCAATCATATAAAGACAATTTAATTGGAAAAATTTGATTACAGTGGTCAATAAACATCTACATGTTTTACACATTTTCAAGATGTACAATGACACCCAAAAATGCCTTTTTTTTTCAGAAATAAACTTTAAAACAATATTAAAAAATTAAAAATGAAGTTACAAGATTTGATATAACGGTGTACCTAACATTAAATTATTGATGTAATGTGTTGTTTCGATATTACAGTTTAGAATATAGTGATATTGACACACGTTATACGAAATGGCAACTAAATAGAACTAAATAAAACATTCTTTTTTCAGGTGCAAACCGCCAAAGAAATATATGGTAGATAATTACCTAAGCAGAACAATATAGACAAAGTATTACGTAATATTCCCAGCCATTTTATTTTTAACTCCATTGAACTTATTTGTGACCTTTCTAAGCAATATAATAATAAACATATTGGCAGAGAGGGATTTTTTAATAGATTGGAAATTATTTTTATTATAATTAACCCTAATAGCGATATCGATGACTGCGATTCAAATACTTGCGATCTGGATTAGGAGAAATAAAAGAATTTTATAGGAATAATGAAGATTAGTAGTTGAATAATTGTTTTTTTTTATGAGAAAATAGTGTAATTAAAAAAAACATTGTCTAATATTTAAAACAATAAACAGTTTGATATATTTCTTATATATCTGTATTTTTATTTAATTTATTCCAAGATATCAAAAAAATATTTGACTGAGAATAACATTTTTCAAATGTCTTTTGAAGCTGATAGAATGGAGAATCTTGATGTTTGAGTGATGAATCTATTGTTCATACATGTTTCGATAACTTTAAAGTTGAAAAGAAGTAGCGATATCTGTTTATTTTTGAAGCATTTCTGGCTATCTTGAATACTTGAGCTACAGAACCGTTACTGAAAGTGAGATTTACTAAAGCACCTACTCAAATATTTTAACAACTTCCTTCTTGTATTCAAATATTTTAGCATTTTCAAACTTTAATTCTTTATGTATAGGTATCTACTGATATTATGAATCCTCCACATGCCTTTGTAGTTTTCATTTTTTCAATGACCTCTTTAATTTTATGGGGTGTTGTGGTTTATAACTTAAATGTAGTTCTGTTAAATAACTTTCTTGGTGAAATTAAATTAGTTTTAGATATTTTCTGTGCTAATTCTAAACCAATTTTGATCCATCTGCAATATACTACCTTACAGTTTTATTTTCCATGACTTGCATAATATGTTTAAAGCTGTTTTGTTCAGATGTTTATTATTCATAAAGGAATTCAATATTTTCCGTTAGTTATATACATTTAAAACTAATTGTTCCTACTATATAGTAACATAACAAATACATAACCTTACAATTTTAAAAAATTCTAAATTCCTCAACTATTCTGACGATTAGGCAACACTGCAAGGCCGTGACGTCATAAATGATCTCTGACGTGCATCGGGATTTGTATTAAAAATACTATATATCATAATTTCGCGTTTTAAAACACCCTATATACACAACAAAAGAAGGAATCTTTATTAAAAATTTTAGAAAGAAGATAATTTCCTGACCGCAGTAGAATCTTTTGTAAACAAATAAAACGTCTTTGGTATGATCAGTCGATTATATTTTTATTAATTCAGCACGACATATGTTTCGGAATACAATTCCATCTTCTGGTGCAGTTGCAGTTTCTTTAAAACTAAAAACATTTACGGACGTACATTTTCATGGACGAAAACTTTTAGTTTTTGATAGTGTGAAGGTATATGATGTATTTGAAGTATTATTATTTGGTTTAGCAAGATTATTAAATTTATTGTATTATTATTCTTAATTACTAAGAATTAACATGTAGATAGTAATTTGTATCAAGTTATCATGTTTACCTTATACTCTCTTCCATAACAATGTGTACCATGGGAATGGGAAAACCATTAAAGGGACTTGCAACAGGAAGTGTGTAAGCTCCCATATCTTCAAAGACCAACCAGTCACCAATTTTCATATCTGGCAACATAGCGTTCTCGATAACTTGATCTAGCCCATCGCATGTAGGACCCCATACGCTGCTTTCATAATATTTTGCTCCAGGACGTTCGTCTAATGGTTGGGGTACTACTACCTATTGAAAATAATACAATTATGTCACAATACCACTATACTGAGTAAACACAAAGCTAGACCAAATTACTAAAACAATAAAATTATTTAAAATTGCCCATAGATATAAGTAAATATACTGTTGCATAAAAATTAAATTAAAGGGAAGCAAACTGATTGGCATAGTTGTTGGATCAAAGTAGTAGGTAACATGTTTCGATTTCCAGGGAAATTAAAAAATGTTCATGCGCAAAACACACCAAAACCACAGTCAAAACTATGCTTTTTTACCTTTACGTAAGCGAATTTTGAAAACTAATAAGCTATCGATTTGATTCTTTATTAAATAAAGTAATGACCTCTTTAACCAATGCCCAAATTGTTGATAAATGAGTCGTCTAGTTCCAAAACCCACCAAATCAACTCGAAAATGTTTTTCAGGAAACGCGAAAGTTACTACTAGTCAGAAAATAAGAGTATGTATCTTAAAAATAAATAAAAATGATTAATAAATTAACATAAATAAAAAGATTAATAAAAAGAGAAGTAAATAAAAAAATTAATAAAAAGATAGAAATAAATAAAAATAATTACCGCTCTATATGGCATGAAAAAATATGATGAGTGAATTGCACAACAAACTCGAATGCAGCAAACCAAACCCACATGAACTGGAACTCTCAAAAAAGGGTATCCAGCCAAGAGTGGGAAACTGCTAAACGGGTAGTTACAACAGAGAAAGTAACATGGGCAATACGCTCCTTCAATCCATACAAATCACCGGGACCAGATGGGGTACTGCCTGTACTTTTGCAACAGGCAATAGAAACGCTGTCCCCGCATATTTGTAGGCTCTACAGGGCAAGTTCGGTGCATAAACATGTACCAAATACCTGGAAACAAAGCAGAGTTGTCTTCATACCTAAACCGGGGCGTCCAACGTATGCCGTGGCAAAGGCCTATAGACCAAAATAACTCTGACGTCATTTCTATTGAAAGGATTGGAAAAACTGATTGATCAGCATGTCCGGCAAACCATTCTGATAAAGAGGCCATTTCATACAAACCAACATGCCTATCAATCAGGAAAATCTTGTGAGTCTGTTCTGCATCTTCTTGTAGCCAAGAAATAGTCCTAGGAGCATTTCTTGACATAGAAGGAGCTTTTGATAATACCTTCTTTAAATCAATGGTAGCTGCCGCTCGCAAACATGGAATAGAAGACACCATCTGCTGGTAGATAGAAGACATGTTATGCGGACGGCAAGTACAGGCACAAATGATCAGTGAAACCATGCAGGTGAATATCCACAGGGAACCTAGTGGCAGACGAACTGCTGAAAACACTAAACAATCAAGGGCTGTATGCCCAAGGATATGCCGATGACATAGTTATCCTTATCCGAGGGAAACACCAAACCACAGTCTTTAAACTCATGCAAAGAGCGTTAGGGAAAACCTCTTGGTAAACCCTGACAAGGCACAACTCATAACCTTTACTCTAAAAACAAAATTGGAGGTTTTAGAAACTCCGACTCTGTTTGGAGAAAGGCTAAACAAAACGAACCAAGTAAAATATCTAGGTCTAATCCTAGATAGCAAACTTACTTGGAACCAACACTTACAAAAAGTGACCAACAAATGTAAAATGTCTCTCATTGTAGGGAGACGGGCATTTGGAAAAACATGGGGATTAAAACCAAAAATGGTCCACTGGCTATATTTAGCAATAACAAGACCCATGATAACTTATGAAGCAGTTGTCTGGTGGCCAAAAGTAAACCAGAAAACAGCCCTCAATACCCTCTCAGGAGTACAGAGGCTGGCATGTCTTTGCATTACAGGAGCACTGAGAAGTACACTGACAGCCTCTATGGAAATCATTCTAAACCTCCCACCCCTTGGGATCAGATCACATGACACCCCTCCTAACCTTTAACATACTCTTCCAGGTCAACTGTAACTGGAACGAGGTAAATAAGGACAGGCAGTGAACAGGTGGATGACCATGAAACACCAAATTCACTGGCAACAGATAAGAGGGCACAGAATCAGTAAGCTCATGCTAAGGGGACCAAACCCACGCATGGCTACTGAGGCACTACAACTAGCAAGGCCTCAAATATCTACCATTGTGGGATTACTAACGGGACACTGCTTGCTGAAACATCTTCATGTAATGGGATTACACAATGATCCCACTACGTGTAGACTTTGCATGGAAGAGGAAGAAACCTCATACCATGTGATCTTCGAATGCCAAGCTCTTACTGGGCGACGTTTCATCTATTTCGGCCTAGAACCGGAAAGAACGCCCCAGGAACACTTGGTAGGGAACCTATTAAAACTAACCGAAGACACAGGACTATTCCAAAGATAGTACCTGAATACGGGGAAAGCAGGGGGGAATACAATAGATCCAAGAGGCCGCAGTGCTCTGGGTCAAACCTAACCCTACCTGCTTATAACCGATAAAGATAAAAAGAATTGATAGAAACGACATAATATCGTCGTTGGTTTAGGAACATCTCCTATGTGTAAAATCACTAAATTTTCAGTAGACACAAAAAAGTCCTACAACTTTTTGTAGAAGTACACACATACAAGTTATTAATTATTGGGCGACCTACTACACATAGGAATTTTAAATTTGTAGGGAGCAACTAGATGGCGCCAATGGTACCAAAATATGAATATTCACAAATAATATGCATATAGGAGGTATTGATTGCTAAATCACCGAAGATATCTCGATTAGCCCTAGATCCCACTGCAAATGTTTACCGTCATCTGATAAAGAAATGAAATATACTCCGAAAGCAAGTAAAAATATTGTACTTTATCAAATGGCACCTGTGCCAATTCCTATCCTGAGCAAAGTGGTATAAAAATATTTTATTTACAAAATATCACATAAGACATGACAGCGCTAATTTTGTTTGTCCAAAAAGTTTTCCAGAAAATAACATATTCAAATATATCTTGAGTACATCGTTAAAGGAAAACATTTTCTTCCTCTTAACATCGAACAAAAACATCTACCCACGATTAATAGGTAAAAATCATTAAAATATTATTTAATTTTTGCTAATTTCAAAATTTTATTTGTATATTTATTGTTGAGATTAATTTTTAAAGGTTGTCATAGAAACGACAAAAACTACTATGATTATGGTATAAAAGAATTGTCTAACAAGAGTTCATAATTTTTATTAACTAATAGTGACATTACAGAAAATGCACCACGTCTGTAACTTTGCAGATCGGCAAAAATGACGGATTTACAAGTGTATCTTTTATCTATAAAAACGATTTGTTTGTAGATTTATGGCAAAATGACAATTAATCGAAAACAAAAAACCAATAAAGGATCTTTTTCTGAAGAAATGATGAGAAGTGCAGTTTATTTGGTTACGATCTTGCATAAAATTTTCACCTCTTCAACGGCGAGTCATGGTTCCTATAAGTTTTACCTTTTTTTAGAAGGCCAATGAATTATTACTTTTGACAGAGTGGTTTTCTTCACTTAAATTATTAATAGTGTCAAATGTTGAATTTTCAGTTTCTACAGGAATATTAATTTTGAAATTTTTCAGATATATGTGTCAAATGAAAAATGACAAACTAATCGAATGGTTCCTAATTATGCCTGCCGCCTTATACTACTGAACAAAAGCAAACATTAACAGATTACGTTTTTCAAAGTTTAGTCATGTGTTATGGAAAATCGACCTAAGACTTGAGTGGTATTGATTATGAAATGACCGATATTAGTAAGACCCATAATTATTGGCATCGTGATAAAAAAGTAGGTCTAGAGTGGATGAGCTCATTTTTAAAAAGAAATAAATGAGTCTAAGAATTCCAGAAGGTGTTCTCTGTCTCGTATGACATATTTTAATAAATTCAATGTCGATTTTTTTCTTCTCAAACCTGGAAACCTAGTATAAACGAGAAAAATCTTATTGCAAATGGAACTAGGGTATGGAATTTAGACAAAACAGGAACTACAACAGTTCTGTCATGCCCAAAAAGTGTGAAACAAGTTAATACGGTAACTAAACAAGAACAAGGAACTTTAGTGACAACCTGAATGGCTGTTTCTGCTATGGGCTCTTTTATACCTCCCATGATATTTACGGGGAAAAATGAATAACCTCATATGATCAATGGGGCCCCTGTTGGCACTTTAAGTTTGGCCAATCTGAGTGACTGGATAATCTCGGAACTTTTTCCGCACGTCGTTCGACATTTTATTCAATTTACGTCAGCGTCAAAAGAAAATCAATGTTTGCTTATATTGGACAATAATGAGAGCTATCTTTACCACCTCACAGTAGTCATCAGATGCAGCCCCTTGATATTTCAGTGTTTGGGCCATTTAAACCTTATTACAACCAAATAATTTAAGAATGGCTGTTGGGGAACCCAGGAGTTCCACTTTCCATCTATAACAGCCTCTTGCATAGGAACAGCATTTAAAAATACATTGGTGCCATTAAATATTACTTAAGGGTTCCAGCATTCAGGGATTTTCCCTTTTGGCAAGACATTATTTTGAGTAGCTCTGTAACTGACCGTGAAAATATCATAGAAATAAATTTTAAAACAGGACCATCTAATGTTTCTGAACCTTTGCTATCTAGAATTGAAGAAGCCGAACCAGTATGAGAACACCATCTACTCCTTCCGATTCAAATCCTCAAACTAAAAAAATTACAAGTCCTGCTGTATTTAAAGGATTACCAAAAGCAAAACAAAGGAAACTAAAAAACCCAGAGAAAAAGGCGCCACTATTATTGCAACCAGCACTCCTGAAAAATTAAAATTAGGGGAAAGGGCCGAAAAGAAAAGAGCAAGCAGAGCTAAACAAATGAAGCCAAAGAAACCTAGAGTTGTAGAGTCAGATGAAGAGGGGGAAGAAAAGGAAAAGTTTGACGAACAATTTATGAAATGAAAGTTTTAAATCTTTTAATAAATTTGATGAGGTAATTACATGGTAAGCTACTACTACATGGTAAGCTAGACAGACCTTTAAAGAAAGATAAATATGTTCTCGTCGAATTCACAGACCAAAATGAATCAAAATTTAAATTTTATTACATTAGAAGAAAATGATGCGGTTTTATTATATTGGCCTGTACACGGGGCTTATCTCAGACGATACAGCATATGAAATCAATTTTCTACGCTGGAGTTGTAAAGTGGATAATACTTTCTTTTTCCCTAATGTCCTAGATGTTGCAGATGTACCAGAAAAAGACATTAGGTTTATATTATCCGCTCCATTAAGTATTCATGGCACAAAAAGAATACAATGTTAAATAAAGTTTGACATTTTAATTTTATAACTATTTTTAATTTCTTCCTAAACGATCTATAGTGGACCATATGGTGATCCACTGTGCCCCATGGGTGGTCTACAATGTATCAAAAATTTGCCTCTGATATTTTATTTTTCTATTTTTAAAATTTTAATATTCACATAATACAACCAATGAGTTGACCTTTAGATTTTATTAATTAGAAAGATCAAAAAGCAAAAATTGACCGTTCCTAATCAGTCGAAGCGATTTGGTTCGAACTTTTGAACCTTCTGATTTCAACATCAGGAAATTATTGTTCGTCAATTTCGCTATAGAGGAACCAATCATAACTATAAAATTATATAAGTAGAGTTGCCTTTTATATATGTATATATGAAAGAGTGATCTGTTCCTCTTTTTTCTTCAGTATGTCAAAGAATTAATTTGTTTTCTTTTACGTAATCTGTTACCTAAAAATGAGCCAATGCAGCCATGGATATTAGTGGGTTTTGTTCATTAGATATATGGTATAAACGCAAATATTAATATGGATTTACGGGTGTTTCAATATCACTCGGCTATCAATTTAGAGAATTTTGAAACATATTTTATGATCCGTAACATTATTTAGGCTTCTTTTAATCAGATGGCTTCTATTAGTTCGATTTGTTTGAAATTTGGATTTAGTGGAGTTTTGAACTAGGCAACTGAAATACTGTCACTAATTTATTTAAATAATTAATAAAAAAAAATTATTTGGGATATTTATATAAATACGGCCAATAAAATGAAAATATATGAAATATACGAAAATATTTGAGAACTTCATACATTTTCCTTTGAGCTGGATATTTGTTTGAAAATTGAATTATTAATTTTTGTTGAATTATATGTTGAAAAATTAAATAATTGTTGATATCTGCTAATAACTGTGATTCCATACTGATTTTAGTGAACGTTAAATATTTTCGGATATTAAAAGATGTAGGTTTGCAAAATGTAAAGCTTAATGATAAAATATATGAAAAATTGCGACAAGCTCAAATCTATGTAATCCACTATTACCTAGTACGAACGGGATACAAACATTTGTTGCAGTCTCTGAGAAATTCTACGTACTAAATAAATGCATATAATAATAATAATGAGATATGATAAATGATTATATATTTCAATTTAAACATCTTTCTTACCTGATGGTCATATAAAATGCAATTAAAACTGCCATATACTCCGTCATTGATGTAATACATGCGATGTGTTAATGCAGAGCCAGTTTCTTTATCAGTATGGATAACGTTTCTGATTGAATGTATGTTGCATACTAGAGTATAAGCAGAGCTTACATAAAAACGACCTGGCTCAGCTATTACATGAACAGATGGGTCTGGGAAGTAGGTGTCCAAAGCTAAGTTAACAATCTCTGCAATCTAAAAAATAAAAATTAATTTTAAAAACTTTAATCCCCCCATGTGGAAAATTGTTAATTGTAACAAGCTCAACTAAGAAATATACGTCCAAGTAAAGAGTTATTATTTAGTGTGTCAATTATTTAAATAAACTAATATAAACATACATTACAAATTGGCGACGATTTTGCGTTCTTAAGTAGTAATAAACGTTATACAGTGCAAGTTTCTGTAAATTTAGTGAATGAATTATGATATTCGGACATAATGGCGTCAGAAACCGGGACAATAGGACATTTGCGAGAGTTTTGCTTGAACAGCTCGGATTGGACTATCTTTAGGGTTCGTTTAGAAAACTATTTCAATGGAAATGGCATTAAAATCGACGGTGAGGATGCCAGTACAAAGGCGAAGTATTTTGCTAAATATTCTAGACGAGGCAGCGTACAAACTGGTTTTCGATTTGGTAAGTCCAGCTAAACAGGAGAAAAAAAACATACAGGCATTTAATCGATATCCTAAACAGTCATTTCAAGCCGCAACACAGTCCATTCGCCGCGCGATACAAATTTTACACGGCGATGAAAGAACCCGAAGAGAGCAAATCAGTGGGCTGCACGAATAAGAGGATTAGCAGTGGGCTGCGAGTTTGGAGCGGAGTTAAAGATATGTCTCCGAGATCGATTTGTGTTTGGATTTAACAAAGAACCTATCTTGGATCGCTTAATGGAGGTAAAAGTGACAGAGGAATTTGAAAAAATGGTAATTTTAGCGGCGACCAAGATGGCTGCCAAAGATTTTCAAAGACAAACCGATAAATTTTATGAAGAAGGCAAATAGTGGGGCATCATTGATGTGTGACTACCAGAGAGCAGGAAGCAGCGAAGCACGACCAAGGCACGCACCACGTTATTAGAACTAACGGAGAGGGAACGATCACAGCACCACAAACTGCGAAGTTTGTGGCAGGGATAACCATACTGTGATGTTTGTTTACTTTAAAACAACAGTTTATTTATTAATAATTTATTTAAACACTTATTTATTTTATAAAACAACTATTCTAATTTATATATACTTCGAATGTCTTTAAACTGATCAATATTTATATTCACCACTGTCTATCTACTAATTACTATTTATCTTCACTGTCCATATAATAACTGACCACCTGTGCTCCTCCACCAATATTTATATACAAATTTAAAAAATTGGCGAATGTTCTAGTAAGTTCACATATTCTCTCCAATACACTAGAAACATTATCTCGTTCTTTCTCGAACATCATCGAAAGCACCTCCACCATAGTCGTCCCATAGGTTTGGTCTTAAGGGGTTTAATTATGTATAATAAGCGGACAAGTTGAGCCTCAAAGACCAAATAATACAGAGAGGGACTTGGAGTATTAGAGCATGACTGAATAATGAAATGGCTCACATTACAATACTAAAGATAAGTGTTTTTATAAAAACTCAGTCTGATTACATTGTCAAAAGGTCGGTCACATCGCAGCTGTTTGTAAATATAAAAACAATTCAGGCAATAGCAAGGCCGAATTTAATAAATGTAATAAATACACTGCCCGCAATGTGACAGGTCACAATTATATTCAGGAAAATAGTGAAACTGACGAAAATGATGATCATTATTTGTATAATATTTCAGATACTACGTTAAAGGGACCTTTTAATATTTTTGTTAGAGTCGAAAATATAAAACTGGAATTTAAAATAGATTCAGATAGCGGTATTTCTTGTTTTTCTTACGATTTATATTGTAAAAATTTTAGTAATAACCCCTTTCAATGCTCCAATAAATGTTTTTTTGTTTTATAACGGCATTAAGGGTAAACCAGTGGGGGTCATACAAGCAAACATATTTTTTAGGTCAGTTAAAATGTTTAGATTTTTACATTATGGAAAATGGGGGTCTCCCAATAGTTGGTCGATATTTTTTAACACTTTATGGCATTGGATTTTCTAAATTAAATTACATACATAGTGTTCAAAATAAGTTAGAAGAGTTAACTAATCAATTTCAAGAAGTTTTCTCGCCTGGGCTAGGACAATTTAATAAAGGAATGGCAAAGATTAACTTAAAAAATCCAAATGTTGCACCTAAAATTGTAAAGGCCAGACCAATTCTATTCGCAATAAAAAATGAAGTAGAGGACGAAATTAATAGGTTATTTTCTTTAGGTATAATTGCTCCTGTGAACTACGGTGTATGGGCGACCCCAGTTGTACCAGTTTTTAAGAAGAATAGCAAAGTTCGACTTTGTAGAGATTTCAAAGTCTCTGTCAATCCAGAAATAGAAGTAGACCAGTACCCCTTACCAAGAATTGAAGAGCTTTTTAGCAGTCTAGATAGAGGCACAGAATTTTCAAAACTGGACTTATAACAAGCTTTTCAACAAATTGAGGTGGATGATGCGAGCAAGGAGCTACTAACCATATCAACTCATAAAGGTTTATATAGGCATAACCGTTTAACTTTTGGGGTTGCTTGTGCCCCAGCCAAATTTCAAAAAATTATGGATTCTTTGTTGAGCAGCTTATCTGGGGTAGCTGTATTTCAGGACGATATCCTTGTTACAGGCATAAATCAAAACGAGCATTTAAAAAGATTAAAAGTAGTTTTATCTGTATTAAAAGATGCAGGTTTAAAGGTTAATTTACACTAATGTAATTTTTTTCAAGCTAAAGTTGAATATGATGGTTTTATTATTGATAAAGACGGGTTACACCCTTCAACAGAAAAGGCAAAGGCTATTTAGTTGATCTAAATACAATGGTTGAAGTTAACGGTAGATGCAAGTTCCGTGGGAATAGGAGCCGTGTTAAGTCATAAATTTAAGTCTGGGGTAGAAAGGCCGATTGCTTTCACGTCAAGAACACTGTCTAAGGCAGAAACTAACTATTCTCAAATAGAAAAGGAGGCTCTATCAATCATATACGGGGTAACTAAGTTCAATCAATACCTGTATGCTAAACATTTTGTTCTGGTAACCGATCATAAGCCGCTTTAATCTATATTCAGTCCTAGTAAATCGATACCTCAGTTTTCTGCTAATAGACTGAGACGTTGGGCAGTAATTTTATCCGGATATTACTATACTATTGAATATGTAAATTCCGTGAATAATAAGGATGACTGGCTTTCTCGACTACCAGTAGAAATGAAGGCTGCTGATAAAATTTCTGCTGATGTAGATTATTGTTTTATTTTGCCAATAACTCTGACATAAAATTAAATTTTGAAAATGTTAAAGAGGCAACTCTACAGGACCCTGTATTATCTATTGTAAAATTTTTAATAAACAACGAATGGCCAAAAAATAGAGATAATGTAGATTTGAAACCATATTTTCCTAAAAGATATGACTTTTTTTATTAAGCAAGATTGCATAATGTGGAAACATAGGCTAGTAATTCCGCTTAGTTTACAAACTGATATCTTAGCTCAGTTTTATTCAACACATTTGGAAGTGGTAAAGATGAAAAATTTAGCAAGAGGGTATTTTTGGTTTCCTAAGTTAGATTCTGAAATTGTTAAAAGTTGTGAATCTTGCAATTTGCATGGTAATAATCCTCCTAGAGCTGAAATTTCACCTAGGCCACTGCCAACTGAACCGTGGGAACGAATCCACTTAGATTTTTGCGAGTTAAAAGGTTCTTTTTTTTTAATCATCGTAGATGCATACTAAGTGGTTGGAAGTTTTCGAAATGAAAAACATTACGTCATTTTGGTTTGCCACGCTTAATAGTTTGGGACATCATTAGCTTCTCAGGAATTTTAAATTTTTTAGATTTAAATAATATAAATCACATTACTAGACCTCCGTATCATCCATCATCAAATGGAGCTGCCGAAAATTGTCAAAACTGTAAAAAGGCACTAAAAAAAGCTCTTTCTTCTAGCCATTTGGCACTATGCAGATTTTTATTCGATTATAGAAATCCTCCACACAGTACAACAGGGGTCAGTCCCGCTAATTTAATGTTTGGTCGTCCATTAAGGACACGTTTTTCTACATTATTGCCTCCTCTGCGTAAAGTAAAAAGTTCTAATGCTGTAAAATATAACGAAGTAAGGGAGCGGGTAGAAAAAAAAGCAAATTGTAAATAGTGGAGGAAAAAAGGGTATTCAATATAATGTTGGTACGGAAGTGTTAGCCAAAGATTATAGAGTTGTTAATAAGCCAGGTTTTGTCAAGGGAATCGTAAAAAGAATAGGAAAACATACTTATATAGTAGAGATACCAGAAATGCAAAAAACATAGAAAAGGCACACTAATCAAATTTAAAAAATAAAAGATGCCTCTGTTACACCTCTCATTCCTGTTTGCAATGCTGATACCTCTACATCTACCGAAATTGATGATGTCAGCAAGGTAATATCTAATGAGTCAGAATCTGTAATAGAAAATGAAACTTTAGATTACAAGCCTAAACGAAATGTTAAGGCAATAGATAGACTAGTTTATACTTAAATATAAGGGTTACTATTTTTTTTGTTTGTTAATTTTTGTAGTTATTATATTATTTAGTTGTACATTTTTGTTGCCAAATTAAAGGGGGAGGTATTGTGGTGTATTTTACTAATAATAGGTTGGTGTTACTGTTTTAACTTCCGCTGCTATCGAGCAGTGCGCAAGTCTTGTGACGCAACATACCATACACACTTTTGCCCATGTGGAAAATTGTTAATTGTAACAAGCTTAACTAAGAAATATACGTCCAAATAAATAGTTGTTATTTAGTGTTTTATTTAATTAAATAAACTAATATAAACATACATTACAATATAACACAAAAGTTACGCCAATTATACTATATGCCAGGAACAACTAATATATTATTAGTTGACTGCAAACACACCATCGTTTTTATATGTTAACAACTTGAATCAATGACAAACAACTACTAGACTAAGCCTTTCATTCATAAATGGGTGGCACAAAATTGATCGAAAAACATTTGCTCGAAAATATATTTTATTGAATTTTATCGAAGAGACAATAGATGTAAAATTCATTAGGTCGAAAGTATACTATTTCTAAAATCAATATTAAAATAAGTAAAATAACTAAAAAAAATTAAACAACACCAGTCAACCGTTCGGCTAATCCTTATTACCGGAGAAAGGAACTAATTTCAAATTTTTCGATAATATCAAACGACAGCTGCCTTATTTAACATTTTTTTTTCCTTACAAGAGGTACTGTTAATTTACAACTTAATATTTTCAGAACTAAACAATTATTTATCGTCATTGAGATTAAAAAAAAATACCTTATCAATGGTCGTTCCTTGTCCTCCAGGGAAACCGCCACCAATATCGAGCAAATTAAAATTGTAACCCAGAGTCTCAGCATAGTCAAAAATGTCTCTTGCAGCAGAAATGGCTCTGCGAAATACAGGAGGTTCACGACATCCGGATCCAACGTGAAAACTGACGCCCACCACATCTATATCCAAAGATTTAGCAATACGGAGAAGTTCGGGAGCTTCGGTAATGGGGTCACAACCAAATTTGTTTCCTAGTTGACACTGAACTTCTGTGGCGTCACAACGAATACGGATTACCATTCTGTGAATAAAAAAAATATTTTTTTTTAATTCGTTTGAAATAGATTAATGTGTCAAGACACTGTTCAGCAGATATATGTATACGGGTTGTATTCGACTAGTTGTTTGGCTAATAATGTTTCAGGATTGTGAAAAAGAATACAGCAAATCATTTGATAACAATTTAAAAGTTTGGCGAACAAACTAAAAATTTTCCAATTAGAAAATAAAAAGTACAGATAAAAATTAAATATTGAAAACAAGGTAAAGAAATGTTTCTTCTCCTTTATGCAGAAAATACTATGTTTGATTTTAATGCTTGTAAATTCTTACGAGCCTAACGTGAGACCTGTTATGAACTTGGTCTCCATATTGCTGAAACAATAGTGTCCACGTTGATGTCTAGATGAGCTTTAATTGTGGGTTATTATTTTAAGGAGCGCCATTTAGTTCAAGGTACGTTAACCTAAAAAATACCTCACACTACAGGATTTCTCAAATATTAGACCATGTATTACGTATAGGTAAAGAATAATAATTATTTGACATATGTAATGAGCCGATTCATATAAAAATAAAATATTATGAATAAATTGTTCAATAAGATTCGATTTTGCACCATAGAATTAAATTTTGATACTACTTAATAAAAAATAAAATAAAAAGCGAAAAATTATATGGTGAACAAAAACCTAACTTTTTTATGTAAATAAATTTTTATTAAATATATTTAGAAACAAATATTTAAATAAATATTATTTATGCATACAGGTAATTAGGGAACTACAAATTGAAATTTTTTTATCTACCTTCTTCAACCATATAAATAATGATAGAACATTTTATTACAAGAGATCTATCCATGTACGGGAATGTTTAGGAATGGTAATGAAATAAGAAATTATCTTTGGAATGGGTTTAATAATTATGTAAAAGGTCGCATAGTTATAATTTTTAATCAACACTCTTCCCTAAACAACATCAAAATATTAAAATAATACTATTTATTTTTTTAACTTTTCATTTCAACAATTCCAATTTTGTAGAAAAAATTAACACTATTTTTCTTATTTATTATCTTGTACACTATAAACGATGTCAAATAGTAATTTTCTCACTTTGTTTTGATAAAATACACCTAACTAGAAATGAATAAGGTATAAATTTAAAAGTTCTACTTTCTTATGAAGAATACAATATCCTTGTTTTACTTATTTTTCCACAAAAAGCTTTTCAAAATTGCTATAGCTCCCTGTTAGCCATAAAGGCCGGTTTCTTACATCTAGAGTTTCAGAATAATGGGGTTATGTGATAGATATTGGTATCTGAGCAGGCCAACTATTTTTTCATCATAGGGGCACTGCACATGCTTTTTTTAACAACCCTCGGACCACCGTGCTATCACCCTAATTAGTTTGTAGCGTGAAAGCACTGCAGCCTGCGTCTTGTTGTACTACCATTTGAAAGTTCTACTATTTACCCATTAACTCACTCACAAACGTTAGTCAGCTAAATCCCATAGTGAAACGTCCCAGCCGTCACCTATCCACGACGCGACCGAAGAGATCAATGACTAAATGCACTAACGTGGATGCACATTAATCTCGCGACTAACCCTCCGGCTCCACTGCACGCAATTAGGCATCGCTCTATTTGTTGAATAAAATAGGTTTTAAAGAGACGATTCAAATTTTCAAATTGCAATTTATTTTGACAGGTCGTTTCAGAGACCTCACGTTAGTCTCGTTACAGAAACCGTGTGGTGATTATAGAAATATTACTGCTTATTGATTTATCAATAAATCTGCCTTCTATTACTTCAATTACGTTTTCACAAGCCGACTTCAAATTTCAAAGGTGGGGGAGGAGTAGGGCGTTTCATTTGGCATGGCAAAAATTAAATGAAACATTTTTGCAGACTTTGCTTACGCCCAGAGTATCAGTGATGTAAAATACTTTTAAAATGTTATTTTGTGTAAAATTGGTATTAAAATAATTTAAAATTTAATTATCGCCGCATGCAATATTCCTGAGAAAGTGGGAGTTTTATTTGGCCAGTCGATGTCGGGCATTTTCTAGAAATTCATTTTAACATCATATCGTTGATTAAAACACAGGTGTCTTTGGCTGCGATTAGCGATGAGTTATTAGTGTCGTTAAAAAAGATCTGAGTAGAATTTATATTTCTACTTTTTGTTAGTTATAAGTTTCCTTTTTGAAAGTCAATTTAGATTTGTTCAATATGATTTAGTAATTCCTATTGTGTTGGTGGAATTACACATTGTATTAATTTTTTATCATTGGAAATTAAAAAAAAATAGTTGTTTAAAAGTTTGATTTATCTCATACAAGAGCCTCGTGAAAAACAGAATTTATTTTTGTTTAGAAAGTGAATACAGTGCAATGTTTTAATGTTAAAATAGTAAACCACATTATTACATTTTTACAAACCATATGAGATCGATTATGTTCATGAAAATGTATAAATAGTTATTCATCATATAATTGCATTTCCACAATTTTAAAATAAACCAATTTATTTATATTCTTGTGAATCTTATTTTTAAAGGTTACAACAATTATCTTTTTACTTAAATTATATATAATTTTGAATTAATTCTTTTTATATTCTCAACTAGCTTTATAAAAAAATAAATGATAATTATTGGCGCCCTTTCTTTCCCGAAAACTATTTCTCGAAAGTGTCTATTAGAAAAGCCTGAAATCACGACTGAGAAAACCATATAGTCTATGTGCTCATTTTATTTTCTGATTTGATTAAAGGTAAGTAATGTTTGGTATTAAATATCTAAGAGCTAGTCAAAATTTCATACCAGGTCTTCAACAATACCCGAAACCCACGTGATCTGATAACCATCAAAAACCCATCGAAAGGGCCTGATTTGACGTAAAAGGAACTAAACTGAACTGTCAATCCTGTCAGAAATGTCACTGGCGTTCATTTGGGGACTGACAATATTTATATTATATTTGTTTACATTTTATAAATACCCTTAGTCCATTTTTCATTTAATATTAATAAAGCAATTAGTTGTTTTTAGAGAATATTGGTGGCTTAATTCTTTTTTGTTGGTAAGTACAAATTTATTTACTGTAACTCGTAAAAGTTAATGACTATATAATTTATTTTAGGTTAATGTTATACTGGAACAAAATTATTTTATATTCGTAATTGTATTCGAAAATTTGAGGAACGTTTTCCAAGGAATGTGATTCTTTTTGTCGTCATAAACAAATACTTGTTTAAAAAAAGGAAAAAGGTCTAAAATGCCCAAAGTAATAACAAAAGCTGTTGAAGATGTGCAAATTAACATGGTGTTAATTCCCAATAAATTAGTAATAAAAACAGCACCTCAAACAGGTATGAACGGTGTTTTAAAGACTGACTCTGGCGAGTGAAATTCAAAACATATTTTTTTTAGGTTTATCACTACGAACTATCCATTAAGTTAAAAAAAATTCTGATAATGTATCCCCTATAAAGTTTCGATACTGCAACAATCATTTTACCTTAATTTTGTTAAACCTACATATGGAATATTACAGATCGCTCAATTCAAAATCGTTTGTGACTTTTATGAATTGGAGCACCTATATTGAATGATATACAAAATATAACTGAAGAGAAACTGCATAATGTGTTCAAAAAAGAACGTTTAATGCTTGCATTAAAGCTGGTGGTAAAGATTTTGAACAGATAGGTACTGTGAATTAGTATCGTTTGTGCACCACCAATTACTACTCAATAACCTTTTAAATAAAATAGTTGTTTATAGATATGCCTTTATAATTTAAAGTGAGAAGTAAGAGCTTTAAAGTAAAACAAATATGTGCTTGTTACATTAATAATATTAATATTTTTTTGTATGCATATAAATAACAATGTTTTTTGTAAATGGTTTAAACCCTGTAACAAATAAATAATAGAACAAACTTAAATTATGTGTTTATTACTTCCCATTGTCCAGGTTCAATTCCAGTAAGTTTTAAATTTGTTTACTTAAACTGAAATAATTGCCAAATACTGCCATTGTCTTTTGCCTATCGTATTTAGAGTTTCAGCTGTAGCTAAATTATCTTAGGACCGATTCCACTGTTGTGTTAAACGAAGTTTAAAATGACATTTTTACATTAACAATGTCATTTTAATCTCGGTGGAATCGGCCCTTAAAGAGTCAGTCTAAAGTAAATAATTTTTAATTTTATTCATATTTTAATGCATAACATTTTTATCCATAACTTTTTTGTGCCCCGTTCTAGTAAAGTTTTTTTTTTGTAGTAGTGACAATAACTAGTACGAACCATATTTCAGTTTATTATTCTTTTCGTTAAATACAAACTAGAGCTCAGTTTTTAAGGTTATGTTATTTATATCATAATTTTAAAAATTAGATTATTGAATTTGATTAAATCTAATTAAAATATCGAATTCTAACATTAAAATACAATAATGTAAAGCACCTCTAATTAATATTATGATTTTGTGTTGTAATTCTAACAGTTACCTAACTGAATTTTGTTCTCGTAGTTGCAGACCATAAAAAAAGAAGATCTACGGCACTGGCTCAAATTTAGGGATTTTTACTTTTATGTTCACCAATCGCTGTCATGACGATTTGGTCACGTGGGTTTTCGGTATTGTTGAAGACCCAGTATAAGTGAGTTATGAAGTATAATTTAACGTTAATTATAACTATTAACATAGGATATATTACAATATATTGGCAAATTTCAAAAAGATTGGGTAATATTTAGAGGCTGCACTTTGATCAGTTTTGTAAAAGTAGATAAAAATACGATTTTTCAATGTTAATTACTTTTACTGGGAAAACTAGAAATCAAAAACTTACAGTAATAGGAAAATTACAAATAAACAAAAAATTACCCTGAAACGAAAATTTTAGTACATCATAGGGATCCAGATAACAATGAAGGTTTTTGACATTTTTTGAAAAAATTTCACTATGGGCCGAGGTGAGAATAATCCGAAGAAGGCTTTTT